TGCGTCTATAGTATTAGTGTGGGTAAGATTTGTCGTTAATATAAGAGTAATAATATAAAGAACTAGAGAACTGATTAAGAATACAATTATTAGGGTGTGGTCGTGGAAATTTATTAACTCTTCTATAATTGGGGATGTTGCGTCTTGTAAGCCTAGTTGAGAAGAATAAGCCATATAAGATATATAGAGGTTAGTCTATAATTTAACTTTGACAAAGTTAGGTAATAATTTTACTAATATCTCATTGAGAAAGACATAGAGGTTATGGAGTTGGCTTGAAACCAATTTTAGGGGGTTCGAATCCTTCCTTTCTTATTTTACTTTAACAAATGTTGGTTCCTCAAATGTGTGGTATGGCGGAGGACACCCGTGGAGTCATTCAAGATTGGTGGATGTGTGTTCCACTGTTAGGACTTCTCGTTTAGAGGCGAAAGCCTCTCAGATCATAAAAATTATTACTAGTACGGCGGTTAGTGAGATGAAAGATCCTATGGATGATACTGTGTTTCATGTTGTGTAAGCGTCTGGGTAATCTGAGTATCGTCGTGGCATACCTGATAGGCCTAAGAAATGTTGTGGGAAGAATGTTAAATTTACTCCTACAAATATGATGGCAAAGTGGGCTTTTGCTCATGTGTCATCAAGAGTATAACCCGAGAATAGTGGGAATCAGTGGACAAACCCTGCTATGATTGCAAATACTGCTCCTATTGATAACACATAGTGGAAGTGGGCTACTACATAGTAGGTGTCATGGAGGACAATATCTAGGGATGAGTTTGACAGTACAATTCCCGTAAGTCCGCCTACTGTAAATAGGAAAATAAATCCCAATGCTCATAGCATAGCTGGGGATCACTTAATATTACCCCCGTGGAGTGTTGCTAGTCAGCTAAATACTTTTACCCCGGTTGGAATGGCGATGATTATGGTGGCAGATGTGAAGTATGCTCGGGTGTCCACGTCTAGTCCTACTGTAAATATATGGTGGGCTCATACAATAAATCCTAGAAACCCAATCGACATTATTGCTCATACTATTCCTATATAGCCGAATGGTTCTTTTTTTCCTGAGTAGTATGTGACAATGTGTGAAATGATTCCGAAGCCCGGTAAGATAAGAATATAGACTTCTGGGTGTCCGAAGAATCAGAATAAGTGTTGGTAGAGGATTGGGTCTCCTCCTCCAGCAGGGTCAAAAAAGGTTGTGTTTAGATTTCGGTCTGTTAGAAGTATTGTAATGCCTGCAGCTAGTACTGGTAGTGAGAGAAGTAGTAGGACAGCTGTAATAAGAACGGATCATACGAACAATGGGGTTTGATATTGTGTTATAGCTGGTGGTTTTATGTTAATAATTGTGGTGATGAAGTTAATAGCTCCTAGGATAGATGAGACTCCTGCTAGGTGTAGTGAAAAGATTGTTAGGTCTACCGATGCTCCAGCATGGGCTAGGTTTCCTGCTAGTGGGGGGTATACAGTTCATCCTGTTCCTGCCCCGGCTTCAACTATTGATGATGCTAGAAGTAGGAGAAATGACGGTGGTAGAAGTCAGAAACTTATGTTATTTATTCGTGGGAATGCTATGTCTGGTGCTCCAATTATTAGGGGGACCAGTCAGTTTCCAAACCCCCCAATTATTATTGGTATTACCATAAAGAAAATTATTACGAATGCATGGGCTGTGACGACTACGTTGTAGATTTGGTCGTCACCTAGTAGGGCTCCTGGTTGGCCTAGCTCTGCTCGGATGAGAATACTTAAGGCTGTACCTACTATACCCGCTCAGGCCCCGAATATTAGATATAGGGTTCCGATGTCTTTGTGGTTGGTTGAAAATAATCAGCGGTTAATGAACATAGGTAAAATGGCTGAGTAAGCATTAGACTGTAAATCTAAAGACAGAGGTTTGAGGCCTCTTTTTACCAGGTCTTAAGGTGATAATCACATCGAATTGCAAATTCGAAGGTGTAGATAACATACTCTACTAAGGCTTCTCCCGCCCCCTTTCTGATAGGCGGGAGAAGTAGATTGAGGCCAGTAGTTGGGTATTTAGCTGTTAACTAAAATTTCGTAGGTTTAAGTCCTGCCAATCTAGTGAGGATTTAGCTTAAATTAAAGCAATTGATTTGCATTCATTAGATGTAAGATGTAGACTTACAGTCCTTAGGCAGAAGTTAAACTTGTATGTTTACTAAGGGCTTTGAAGGCTCTCGGACTTATTATCCTAAACTTCTTATGTTAATATAGTTGATAGGGGTAGGGTTATAGTGCTTAGAATGGTTGCTGTTGATAGAACGGTGTGATTTTTTATGTGGGTATGGTGTAGAAATATTTTTGAAGTGTTGTTTGTTGGGAAGGTAATTAGGGATGTGGAGTAAATTAAGCGTGTGTAGAAAAACAGGTTAATCAGTGCTGCTATGGCTATTAGCGTGGCTAGGATGTGGCTATTATTTTTTAAAAGTTCTGAGATGATAAGTCATTTTGGGAGAAACCCTGTTAATGGTGGAAGGCCTCCTATGGATAGTAGGGTTAGGGCTGTCAGGGGAAGTATTGTTGGTATTTTGTTTCACAGGAGGGATATTGTTTTGATTGAGGTAAGTGAGTATGTTTTTATAATTATAATTATGGTTAGTGTCAGTAGGATATATAGGGTTAAGTTTATTATAGTTAATAGTGGGTTATAGGGTAGAATAGCCACCATTCATCCCATGTGTGCGATGGATGAATAGGCCATGATTTTTCGGGTTTGTGTTTGGTTAAGTCCATTTCATGCTCCAATTAATACTGAGATGAGGGCGGAGGTTGTTAGTAGATATGTATTTATCAGTTCATATGTCTGAAATAGGATTGCTATTGGTGCTAGTTTTTGTCATGTCAGAAGAATGATGCTAGTTTTTAGTGGGATTCCTTGGGTTACTTCTGGTAGTCAAGAGTGTAGGGGTGCTAGGCCTAGTTTGATTGCTAGGGAGATAAATATTAAGGTAATAATTGTGTTGTCTGACTGAGAGTTAATTATTCATGTTCCTAAAAATTTGAAGTTTATTGTAATGGCTAGTAGAAAGATTATAGAAGCTGTGGCTTGTGTAATGAAGTATTTTGTTGCTGCTTCTGTGGATCGTGGGTTTTTTTTGTCAGTTATAAGTGGGATAATAGCTAGTAAGTTTATTTCAAGACCAATTCATATAAGAAAGTAGTTGGTGCTGAGTATAGTGACTATTGGGCCTGAAAAGATTGTGAAATAAATGATGAGGAGGGTGAATGGGTTAATTAGTACGGGAAGGGTTTAAACCAACATTTTCGGGGTATGGGCCCGATAGCTTTATTAGCTGACCTTACTTTTAGCTGGTGTAGAATATAGTATAAAGGTAGTACGTAGAATTTTGAATTCTAAAGTATAGGTTCAATTCCTGTTGTCCTAGAAATAAGAGGGCTTAAACCTCTATAATTTACTCTATCAAAGTAACTCTTTTTCAGACATATTTCTAAGTGTAAGGTGGTATACTTGCTATGAATATTGGTATTGAGATATGTCATGTACAGAGGGCTAGAGTTAGGGGTAGGAAATTTTTTCATAGGAGGTGTATTAGTTGGTCATATCGAAATCGTGGGTAGGATGCTCGAATTCATAAAAATATTGAGGTGAGTAGGAGTGTTTTGATTATGAAGTTGGTTGTATATATTTCTGGGTAGTTCGGGTCATGTGCTGGCCCTAGAAATACGATTGTTGATAGGGCATTTATTATAATAATGTTAGTGTATTCGGCTATGAAGAATAGGGCGAATGGGCCTGCGGCGTATTCTACGTTAAAGCCAGAGACAAGTTCTGATTCACCCTCTGTTAGGTCGAATGGGGCCCGGTTGGTTTCAGCTAGGGTTGAAATGTATCATATTATAGCTAGTGGTCATGATGAAATTAATAGTCATATAGGTTCTTGGGTTGTAATAAAGGTTTGGAGTGAGAATGATCCACTTATTAGGAGAACTGATAATAGGATAATTGCTATTGTTACTTCGTATGAGATTGTTTGTGCTACTGCTCGTAATGCTCCAAATAAAGAGTACTTTGAGTTTGATGCTCATCCTGACCATAAGATTGAGTAAACAGCTAGGCTTGAGGTGGCTAGGATAAATAAGATTCCCATATTTATGTTGATTAGGGGGTGGGGTATTGGTAGGGGAACTCATAGGCTAAACGCTAGGGTGAGTGATAGTGTGGGGGCTAAAATAAATAGGGATGTTGAGGTAGTTAAGGGTCGTAGGGGTTCTTTAATGAACAGTTTTATTGCGTCGGCGAATGGTTGTAGAATTCCGTATGGTCCTACGATATTTGGCCCCTTTCGTAGTTGTATATAGCCTAGTATTTTTCGTTCTACTAGTGTTAGAAAGGCTATAGCGATTAGGATGGGTAGTAGAAGTGTGAGGATATTAATAAAGTGCACTGTTAGGGAGAGGACTTGAACCTCTGAGTAAAAGGTTTTAAACCTTTCGCAATTTCCGGGCTCTGCCACCCTAACAATCCCCTGTTCTAGGGGTAAAGTGTACATACTTACTATAATTTAGATAGTTTCATTAATTAGTTTGGAGCGCTTTTGTTAAGGGGGCTCCATTTCTCTTGTCCTTTCGTACTGGGAGAAATTGTTAATAGATAGAAACCGACCTGGATTGCTCCGGTCTGAACTCAGATCACGTAGGACTTTAATCGTTGAACAAACGAACCTTTAATAGCTTCTACACCATTGGGATGTCCTGATCCAACATCGAGGTCGTAAACCCTAATTGTCGATATGGACTCTTGAATAGGATTGCGCTGTTATCCCTAGGGTAACTTAGTCCGTTGATCAAATGTTTTTGGGTCAATTGGACAGTTAATGCTTCGACTTGTGTGTCTAGGCTATAGTCATTCGGAGGATTTTTTATTCTCCGAGGTCACCCCAACCAAAATCCAGAGCTTATGTTTTAAATGTTTTATTACCAGTAGGTCGGTTTATATTATTTGGTTAAGCTATGGGATTAAAGCTCCATAGGGTCTTCTCGTCTTATTAGTGTATTCCCGCCTCTTCACGGGAAGGTCAATTTCACTGATTAGAAGTAAGAGACAGTTGAATCCTCGTTAAGCCATTCATTCTAGTCCCTAATTAAGGAACAAGTGATTATGCTACCTTTGCACGGTCAGGATACCGCGGCCGTTAAAACTAATGTCACTGGGCAGGCATTGCCTCTAATACTTGTAATGCTAGAGGTGATGTTTTTGGTAAACAGGCGGGATTCTTGTTTGCCTAGTTCCTTTTACTTCTTTTAATCTTTCCTTTAAGCACACCTGTGTTGGGTTAACATTAAGTGAAAAGTGAGTTTTACATTGTGATGGTAAACTTATATATGTTAACTAGCAATGGTTATCCGGGTTGTTATAGGCTTGTGCTCGGAGAAAAAAATTCTTGTTACTCATACTAACATTGTCTCATCTATAAACAAATAGATTGACCCAATTTTTAAATAGGAGGTCGTTTTAAGTTTTAGGTATTGTAAGGTTCTTAGTGTTGAGCTTGAACGCTTTCTTTATTGGTGGCTGCTTTAAAGCCAACTATGGTCTGTTATTTTTGGCTTACTCACTATTTAAGGTTTTCTCCTTAGTCTAAAGAGCTGTCCCTCTTTAGGCTATATTTTAAGATTACATTTTGATTTGGTTTTCTTAGGGTAATCTTAAAGTAGAACTGAAATTCTTTTTTGGGTAACCAGCTATCACTAAACTCGTTTGGCTTTTCACCTCTACCTAGAAGTCTTCCCACTATTTTGCTACATAGACGGGTTCATCCTTAAAATTGCTCTTAGGTAGCTCGTTTAGTTTCGGGGTTCCTAGCTTAAATTCTTTTAGTTAGGTGTTTTCTAGTTAGTTCATTATGCAAAAGGTACAAGATTTAATCTTTGCTTTTATGTGCTTTAAACATTTCTTTCATCTTTCCCTTACGGTACTGTCTCTATAGCTCCTTAAATTTAGTTTCTTTCTCCAATACTGCTTTAGTTTGAATGTTTTAGTTGATTGATGAGAATAGTTGAGTCTAATATTTATAGGGCTAGGGTTAGCTCATAGCGTCCATTGGGTGTGGAGTCTTCTGGGTGTAGACCAGATGCTTTATTGGGTTTAAGCTACACTGTGATTAATCCAAGCACACTTTCCAGTATGCTTACCTTGTTACGACTTATCTCCTCTCATGAACTTTTGCTGTAATTATGTATAATGTTTGTTTGTTCAATTTGAGGAGGGTGACGGGCGGTGTGTACGTACTTCATTGCTCTATTCAATTAAGCTCTCTATTCTTAATTTACTACTAAATCCTCCTTTGCCCCTTAGTTTTCATAAAGGGTCTCGTAGTGTTCTTAAAAAGAAAATGTAGCCCATTGCTTCCCACCTCATAGGCTACACCTTGACCTAACGTTTTTATGGCGATAATCTTGCTTACTTTTATTCTTTTTTAAGGTTTGCTGAAGATGGCGGTATATAGGCTGGATTAGCAAGAGGTGGTGAGGTATAGCGGGGTATATCGATTATAGAACAGGCTCCTCTAGGTGGATATAAAGTACCGCCAAGTCCTTTGAGTTTTAAGCTGTGGCTAGTAGTTCTCAGGCAAATAGTTTTGTTATTTAAGTATTTAGGTTTAGGGCTAAGCATAGTGGGGTATCTAATCCCAGTTTGGGTCTTAGCTATCGTGTATATTTTATTAGAATTACTTTCGTTATTGAATTTAAGTCTGATAATGAATTTTCACATATTAATCAGGTTTTAATTCTATTGTTGAGTCTTATAAACACGTTTTACGCCGAGAATAATTAGTTTGGGTTAATCGTATGACCGCGGTGGCTGGCACGAAATTTACCAACCCTTGAGAGGTATAACTTAGTCAAACTTTCGTTCATTGCTTAATTTTTATCACTGCTGAATCCCGTGGGGGCGTGGCTGGGCAAGGCGTCTTTAGCTATAAGGTATGTGCTTGATGCCCTCTCCTTAGGGTTTAGCATAAAACCTAGGGATTTGACACTGGGTTATGGATATTCGCATGTGTAACTTTACCTCTAATTAACTATAAGGCCAGGACCAAACCTTTTTGTTTATGGGATCAGAAATCCATCTAAGCATTTTCAGTGCTTTGCTTTAGTTGATTAAGCTACATGAACATATATTATGTTGTCGTAACACTTGTTAAATTAGGCTTGAATAGGTGGTTTGAAATCGCGGGCCCTGTTTTTTGAAAATTTTACAGATACTGAAATTTGAGTTATATTTGGAGAATTACTAGAATGTGGGATAAAATTGCATTGGAATCTCTGTTTTTGGGGTTTGGCAGAGTGGAAGGTGTTAATTGGGGGGAAGGGGGGGTTTGGAGAATAAATCAAATATGATTCTTAAGTTATATGTCCAAGAAAACATTAATAATTATGTCTTTATATACTGTCTATGAGGATAAATGACACTTGAATAATAAGTCCAGCTACACGAATAAGGTGAACTTCATGCCTTGACGGCTATGGTGAGTCACAGCATACCGAAAAATAAAAAATACCAAAGGCACGAGACCACAGTTATGTTGGGCATGGGCTGATTAGACCCGTACCATCGAGATGTCTTATTTAAGGGGAACGTATGGACGATAAAACATTCAATGGCCCTGAAGTAAGAACCAGATGCCTGGTAAAGTTTCACATTAGTCACCCCCAAGTTAAAATGGGCCCGGAGCGAGAAGAGGGGCAGAGGTGGGCGGGTTGCTGGTTTCTCGGAGGATGGTAGAACTAGAGATTGGGGGGGACGGGGATAGTCATATGGAAAAGCAGGGTTATGACTAAAATGGGGTATGTAAGATAACGCAGGTATGTCCTAAGACATTGAGTTAATGTATTAAAGAATATTCATGTTGTAGTACATGGTATGTTGATAAAACATTGTATGTCAATAGTTCATTAATTAAGTAATACATGCTTATATGCTAGAGGAATATAATTTAATGTACGATATACATAAATGTATTATGGACTATATAATTTTATGTACAAGAAGTAGTTTAATTAGAATTTCAGCTTTGGGTGCTGATGGTGGGGGAATGTCCTTCCTTCTTGATGTCCTGAGAAGAGTGTTTCTTCATTTTTGGCTTACAAAACCAGAGTAATTTTTTATACTATCAGGACTGTTAGGCGAATTTTAGCATGCTGTCTTCGATTATGCTTGCAATAGGTATGAAGATGACAATGGTGGCAAAGTAAGTGATTGAGGCTAATTGGCCGATGATGATGAATGGGTATTCTACTGGTTGCCCTCCAATTCAGGTTAGGATTAGTAGGTCGGCTACTAGTAGTCAGTATATAAATTGTGTCAGTGGTCGGAATGTCATTGCTCGGTGTTTGGATGTGTGGAGGAGTGGGAGTACTGCTAGGATTAAGATAGAGAGGATTAGGGCTAGTACACCTCCTAGTTTGTTTGGGATTGATCGGAGGATGGCATATGCAAATAAGAAATACCACTCTGGTTTGATATGTGCTGGGGTGTTTAGTGGGTTTGCGGGAGTGTAGTTGTCTGGATCTCCAAGGATGTCTGGGAAGAATAGTACTAGAATTATTAATGTAATTAATAATATAAACACTCCTAGTAGGTCTTTAATTGTGTAGTATGGGTGAAATGGGATTTTGTCTGCGTCTGAGTTTAGTCCTGTTGGGTTGTTAGATCCTGTTTCGTGTAGAAATAGTAAGTGTACTAGGACTAGTGCTGTGATAATGAATGGGAGAATAAAGTGAAATGCGAAGAAGCGTGTAAGTGTGGCTTTATCTACTGAGAAGCCTCCTCAGATCCATTCAACTAGTGTTGTACCAATGTATGGGATAGCTGAAAGTAAGTTTGTAATTACTGTTGCACCTCAGAAGGATATTTGTCCCCATGGTAGGACATACCCTATAAATGCTGTAGCTATGACTATAAATAGGAGGATAATACCGATGTTTCAGGTTTCTACCATGGTATATGACCCGTAGTAAATACCTCGTCCAACGTGGAGGAATAAGCAGATAAAGAATATTGAGGCTCCGTTTGCATGTAGGTAGCGAATGAGTCAGCCATAGTTAACATCTCGGCAGATGTGTGTCACTGATGAGAATGCTGTGGTTGTATCTGATGTGTAATGTATAGCTAGGAATAGTCCAGTTAGGATTTGTATGAGTAGACATAGTCCAATTAGGGATCCAAAGTTTCATCATGATGAGATGTTTGATGGGGCAGGAAGGTCAATAAATGAGTGGTTAATAATTTTTATTAATGGGTGATTTTTTCGTACGTTTGTCATTAGCGTTTCTATAGTTGAATTACAACGATGATTTTTCATGTCATTAGTCATAGTTAGAGTCTATGTAGAAATTATGACAGAATACATTTTCATTTTAAGTTCATTAATTGCTGTGGGTTGTTTAGGGGCATCATTAAAGCCATCTCCTATTTATGGTGGTTTGTGCTTAATTGTTAGTGGGTGTGCTGGTTGTTTGGCAGTGTTAGGGTTTGGTGGATCTTTTTTAGGTTTAATGGTGTTTTTAATCTATTTAGGTGGGATGATGGTTGTGTTTGGTTACACAACTGCTATGTCAGCTGATGAGTATCCTGAGACTTGGGTCTCTAGTTGATTATTTTTGGGTATCTTAGTTATAAGCATGTTTATAGAGCTGGGTATAAGTGTGGTTAATAAATATTATGAGGGTGTTGATTTGATCTTAGAATTAAATAGTATAGGGGGTTGAGTTGTTTATGATGGTGATGAGTTAGGTCTGATGGGGGAGGGTGGAGCTGGGGTGGCGGCTTTGTATAGTTGCTCAGCTTGGTTGATGGTAGTTTCTGGTTGGACTTTGTTTATGGGTATTTTTATTATTATTGAAATTACACGAGGTAATTAGTTAATAAAATGGGAATAGATAGTAGTGATACGATGAATGAGAGGAAGTAGAGTTTGATTAGACCTTTTTGGTTTGTTAGTATTTGGGAGGCTAGTAGGTTGGAAGTAGATACTGTTTTTGGTATTGACTTTTCTATTAGTGTAAGGTCTATTAGGTAGAGGGCTTTGTTTAAGCTTTCAGTTAGTAGTTTTATCGAGGCAATTCGGTGAATTACTGTGGTAAAATACCCTAGTATGGTGGAAAAGGTGTTGGTTGGCAGCGGTTTGTTTATTTTTAGGTTGTACGTTAAATTGCTAAGTTCTAGGGAGATTATTAGTCCTGTAATTGTGACCAGGATAGCTGAGGTTTTTAGGTATCAGGGTATGGTTATTGGTGGGGTGAAGGTGATGGGTATGTTGTATGAAATAATAAATCCAGCAAAAATACTTCCTAGGGCTAGTCGTTTGATGGGGTTAGTTAGCTTTGAATTATTTTCGTTTAATGTAATCAGTGGTTGAAATCGGGGTTTATTTATTAGGGCGAAGAAAATGATTCGTAGGCTGTAGGCTGCTGTCATAGAGGTGGCTACGAGTGTGATTAGTAGGGCTCAGGCGTTGGTGTGGCACGTGTTTATTGTCTCGATGATTAAATCTTTGGAATAAAATCCTGTGAGGAATGGTATGCCCGTTAAGGCAAGGCTGCCAATAGTTAGGCATGAGGAGGTGAATGGTAGGGGGGTAAATAGTCCTCCTATTTTTCGGATATCTTGCTCATCTCCCAGACTGTGAATAATGGAGCCTGAGCATATAAATAGTATGGCTTTGAAGAAGGCATGCGTGCAGATATGTAGGAAAGCAAGGTGAGGTTGATTTAGTCCTAGCGTGACTATTATAAGTCCTAGTTGACTTGATGTGGAAAAAGCTACAATTTTTTTGATATCATTTTGGGTGAGGGCGCAGATGGCTGTAAATAGTGTGGTTATTGATCCTAGGCATAGTATAGCTGTTAGTATTACATTATTGTTGGAGGTTATTGGATGAAATCGGATTAATAGAAAGATACCTGCTACTACCATGGTGCTGGAGTGCAGTAATGCTGAGACTGGGGTTGGGCCTTCTATGGCTGACGGGAGTCATGGGTGAAGTCCAAATTGTGCTGATTTGCCTGTGGCTGCTAGTAGAAGTCCTATTAGGGGGATAATATTTTGCTTGTCAGTGGTAAAAATCTGTTGAAGTTCCCATGAGTTACAATTTAGGCATAGTCAAGCTATAGCTAGAATAAAGCCAATATCTCCAATTCGGTTATATAGGATTGCTTGTAGGGCTGCTGTGTTGGCGTCTGATCGTCCGTACCATCAGCCGATTAGTAAGAATGATATAATTCCTACACCCTCCCATCCGATGAATAGTTGGAGAAGGTTGTTAGCTGAGGTGAGAATGATTATAGTAATAAGAAATATGATGAGGTACTTTATAAATCGGTCTAGGTGTGGGTCTGAGTGTATGTATCACGATGAGAACTCTATGATAGATCATGTAACATATAGTGCTACTGGTAAAAAGATGATGCAGAAGAAATCAAATTTTAGGCTAATAGATAGCTCGATTGAGTTAATGGTGATTCAGTGTCAGCTGGTGATTAGAAGTTCTGTGTTATTATTGAATAGTACATACAGGGGAATCAAGCTTAGAAAGAATGAGTATTTAATTGATGATGTGATGTATATTGATAAGTTAGGTGGCTTGCTATTTGTTAGTGTGGCGACGACTGGGATTATAAGTAGAAATATGATTAGAATAATTGTTGATGTGATGGTATTAATTACTTTTATTTGGAGTTGCACCAAGTTTTTGGCTCCTAAGGCCAATGGATTACTTCTATCCTATAAAAGTAAGGAAGCCGTGTTTTTATACACGGGGGCATGAGTTAGCAGCTCTTGCATACTTTCTTGGTAGATAAGGGTTTTAATACCCTGTCTTC